CTCCTCCCCTCTCCTCTCCTCTCCTCTCTCCTCTCCTCTCCTCTCCTCTCCTCTCCTCTCCTCCCCTCTCCTCTCCTCTCCTCTCCTCTCTCCTCCTCTCTCTCATTAATTACAATTTACTGCTCCAGGATGTCATTCAGGGTTTAAAATGACAACTACTTAATCAGACAAACCAACCACACTGATGTATCAGAGAGAAAGCTAGAAGGAAAGGGAATTTTAACTATGACCCTCAAAAGATATCACCTTTGCAATTTAACTCAGTAACCACAAATGAAAGTTTTCAACCCAAGAATGGAGGTAAGGAAAATGTTTTGGTTCAGGAAGAGTCTCCAAACCCCTAGCAGACCAAGTAGGAACAGATTTTTAGCCTAACAAGAGCCCTGATCCCAGTACTGTAAGTAACCCCGGACAGTTTGGGGCCAGCGAGGGGAAATTGAGAGTTAAGTGTCAAAAGGAGTCTGGCTGGCAGACATGCAAAATACAAAAAGAACCACAAGTAAATTTTTCTAACTTAATCTTACATAAAGCTAGCTAGTTCTAGTACCTAATAAGATCAAAAAAGATAATTTCAAAAATTATCTCAAGTCTGAAACACTAATTCCAAATTTCCATACAGCTTTTGGTGGCTGTTGTTCTTTGACTTTTTAAAGTAGTAGTGATTTTTTAAACTTATGCTTTTTACAAACACTTGTCATGCGTATTTCATTTGATCCTGATGAATTTTTACCATGTGTGGAACACCCCTGGCTATTCTTATCTCTTTCACTTTATAAACCAGGCAACTGCAGGTCAAAGAAGTCAGGGGGTGTGCCAAGGTTCACACCTGGGTCTTCTTTTTAAGCTACTGAAGTTCCAGGCTGCCTCCCAACATTTAGAGTTACCCGTGCCATTGCTGACATGGAACTTGGACATCCTAGGGGAATTCTCAAATGTTAAAGAGAGTCTGGCTTCCACCAAAAGAAAATAACCTGTTTATTCACCAGTCCTGAGGGTATCTGTAGTCCTATCTGCTTTCCATCACTGCATTTTTTCCCTAGCTAATTCTTGGTTCACTTGCAAGCCTCACAAAGTCTTCCTTAAGCATTGTCAGGGTTTGTGCTCCAATTATCTGCTCATGTTTTGCTGGATTACTTACCTTGCTTCTGCTTCTCACCTGGGCAAAGCTCCCATCACAATCCTGCAAGCAAGAAGAGATAGTAATACATTGCTGGATTTAACTAGGAGAAAAACACTCACATAGCTGGTGCAAGCCAGAATACAAATATTTCATGTTGAGACCAACACAAGAAGCCAGCTGGGAAAACACTGCTGTTTACAGATTTGGATTAGCTCAGAATTAATTTCAGCCGTGGAGGTAAAAGACAACATTTTAAGCACTGTCATTTAAAGCACATAACCTTAAGCTTCTGAACAGAACTTTTTGAAAAATACAGATGCATTTCCTAGAAAAACACTTAATTGATCACCAAATAGCACATGGGCCTCAGGATGTTCGTGACCAAAGAATCAGCCTTGTGAAGCATTTAACTGCCTCACAGTAACTTTTACATGGGACTCATAGATCACCTCCTACAGACCTTCAAGATTATACTCCAAGTATGTATATTTGAGTTTATAGACATAAATTGGGACACACACTGAAAATATATTTCCAAAGGGAGGAAATCCACCTGTAGTCCTACAAATAATCATGACATTATCCATTTCTCCTATTTTTACTGGTATTAAATATTATGTCTTTTAAAATATTCACGAATTGATAGTTATAAATGATATCATGTGTCTCTCTTAATCTTCCTTTTGCACAATTGTTTTATTTGCAAATATTCATTGCCTTCTGTATTTGCTCTCTTGTTAATTTCCTATTCAACAACTGTTTTTTAAAAAAATTTTTTGGTAGTACTATGGATTGAACCCAAGGCTTTGTGCATACTAAGCAAGCTCTTTACCAGTGAGCTGTATCCCTGACCCTTTGTAAATTTTATTTTGAGACTGGCTCACTAAATTGCCCAGGCTTGCCTCAAAACTTGTAGTCCACTTGCCTCAGTCTTCCAAGTAGATGGGATTGCAGACGCATGTCACCATGTCTGGTTTTTATGTATTTTCTAATTGTTTATGGTTTACATATAAAACCAGTTTTTTTATGTTAATTTTATTACTAGTTGTTTCAACTCTTCTCTTGCTACTTTTAAATATTTTTTACTTGATTGGAGCTTTCATATCATTTGCAAGCAAAAGACAATCCTGACTTTACAGTAGTCTATCTTTATTTCATATCTAATTGCATTGGCTATTAGTTTATCATGGTCTGAAGATAAGCATTTTTGCCTTGTTCCTGGCTTTAGTGGAAACAATTACACTATTTCATTATAAAGCAAGTTGGTATAACCTATCTATTGTTATATCTATTTTTAAACATATTTATTTCAAAGTTCTCTATTCCAAATTCTTAAAATATTTTTATTAGGAATGATGCTGCATCTTATAAAATCTTTTCAGCATCAGTCGAAATGTACTTTTTTCTCCTTTGACCTATTAAAATAGTTAACTCTATGAAAAATTTTTCTATTATCAAAGCATTCCTATAAATGTGGAATAATTCCTCTTTTGGCGTATCATTTGTAATGTAATAGCAGATTATATTTGTTAATATTATATTTCTATTTTTACATTATATCTAAAAGGAGATTTCCCTTTTGTATCTATGAATTTCCTTTTGTGTTTCTGCTTTTATTTTAAAACTAGTCTTTCAGCTCATACAAACAGAGGGATTACTGAGGAAAAAGCCTTGAAGTGGCCTTAACACAAAAGAAACCAAAGTGCCCCCAACACTGTGGCTTGTCTACTTTTGGGAAAATTTATAACACCACTCTGTCTTATACTTTCTGACATGACTTCACAAGTTATTGCAGGTATTATGGATATTCTTCTCCTTCCACAAACTACATGCATTTTCAGTGGCAGAGGCAGATGCTGGATGAAGGTTTTTGTTCTTCCAAACCCTGAAACATAAACAATAGTGAAAATTCAGGGAAATGCTGTGTATCAATTAGCTGTTCTGTCACTGGGACACAGTACCCACACTCACAACTTAACAGGGGATGAAGTTTAATTTTACTCCTGGTTTTAGGGAATTCAGTCCATAGTCAGTGGGCTCCAACATGGAAACGTCATGGAGGAAGGGCCTGGTGGACCACAGACATTTAGTTCATCAAACCTGGGAAACAGAGCCGGCAAACAGTGCCAGACAGAAAAGGCTCAGAGATGATAGTCTCCAAACTCACACCTCCTGGACTCACCTCTAGAATCTCTTCGGAGGCTCTCAATTTGACACAATCCAGTTTATCCACCACAGACTGAAGAAAAAGAAAAAAGCAAAACAAACTACACCAAACTACATCACTACACCAACAACCACCACTTTGTATTCACTTCAAAAAGGCAAGTCATCCAACCGTTACTTTTTGCATTCATTGCTGGTGCTGTAGTTTTGTAGGTTTTTTTCCCATGAACTCCATTTTTTCATCTTCCCCACATTTGTTCCATCCTACCTGACATTCAAAGCCCAGATTAAATTCTCTTCCTCTATAACGTTCTCTTATCTGCTGCTGAACATCTTATCTACCGGCCCAGTGTTTTAGCTACAGTCTTTAAATGGTTTCAAGAGTGCTGGCTTTGTCAGGATCTCTGGTTAGCTCCTTGAGGGCAGGCACTTTATCTTAGAATGTTCTGTGCATTTTGCATTGTGTTCAGCTGTGAGTAATCACGTTCAGTACACTGGCAAGGCATATCTGAGGGAAGACATCCATCACAGTTATTCGTTTAGTAAAAGAGATAATGAAAACCCGAGTGCTAGCCAAAGGTAAATCATTACTATTAATTTCCTCATTCATCATACATGTTGGGCAGCCTCAGGGGTGAAGAAGCTAGGACTGCAGCTCTTTGGGGTAGGCAGATAAGCCTCAGATCTCTCCATTTTGGAGCCAGTCGTGAGGGAAATAGATTCCATCAGGGGGCAATACTAGTAGTCTCAGAATTAACGCGGGGGACTTCTTTCCTCGAGGGGAATAGGTTACCCTGTACCTCTGAAAACAAACCAAACTCCAATCACAAGGTACTATTTACTCATGAATTCTACAAGACTTCCTTGTAAATTATTGAAACTCAGATCTTTTAGTTTACAAAAGAGAAATAGCAACCAGAATACACTTTTACCAAGTTGTGGAGGGCAGAGAAAAATGGAGATTGTATTATACTAAACCTTTTGCTTTAAATTTTAGGATTGTTTTCATTTCTTGGGACACAAAGATTTACTTTATTGTTATTTAGTTTTTGCAAATAAAAAAAAATGAATATTGGAATTTCCTGAGGGCATTTCGGGGTGCGGGAGCCACTTTCCTCCGGGATTCACTTTGCAAAGGGTGCAAAGCTCTCCAGGGGTCGCGGTTGATCCCGCCATTGCCAGGTGGCTGCGTCGCTGCAGGAAGAGGGCATAGCTCCGTTCGCTGTGTCCGCGCTCCCTGGCCCCCCAAGCTCAGACGGCCAGGTGACACTGTGGAAACAAGGCCGGAGACCCGGAGGGGGAGCCGTGGACCCCTCACCTCACTTCCGAGGCCCACGAAGTTCTGCTTCTGACCAGCAAGCTGGAGGCCGTCCGTGCATCCTCTGCTTGGCCTAATACCCGAGTCCACCCCGCGGGAACCCGGCGCGTGGCAGGCCTTCCACCTGCGCGCCCGGTGCGTCGGAGCCACGCCGCGAACCAGGCCCCAGGCGCTGGTCGTCATGGGAACCGGGCGCCCGTCTCCCCGGCGACCGGGTCCCGGGGGAGAGGCGGGCCAGAAAGCCTTACGGCCAATGAGGTGCAGAGGAGCGCAGGGTCAGCGAAGCGCGGGCCTCGGGAGGCTTGAGTGACAGCGGGGCGGGGCCGGCGCTGCCGCCTGAGGTGGAGCCCGCGAAGGGCTGGAGTCGCTCGGGCGGCCGCGCGCGCAGAGGTGACACACCATGGTCTGCGGCCCCGGGGACCGTAGTGCCGGCCAGCAGCAGCGCTCCCGGGCTCTCCGCTCCGCCTCCGACAGTCCGGCCGCGCTGGGCGTCGGCTGCGGGCGTTGAGGCACGCCAGGCTCTGCGAGGTCCGTAGGGCGGCGCGGGCGCTGGGGCCGGGCCGGTGGGGTCGCTCCGGGGTGTGCGCGGCGCGGTGCAGGAGATGCGGCTGCGGGCTGCGTGCGCCCCAAGTTCTCGGAAGCTCTGCGGAGAAGCGGCGATCCGACGCGGGTGAGGACGGGCGGGCGCACGTGCGGGCCGGGCCGGGGCGCCGCGCTCTGGCTCCTCCTGCTGCTCCGGCGGCCCCGGGCCCGCGGGGCGGAAGGCGCCGCGCCTCGGAGGGGTGGCGGGCTGGGGAGAGGAGGGGAGGGCAGAGGAGAGGAGAGCGAATCGGGCGCTTCCCTCGCCCCCGCGGGAGCCGGCGAGGCGTGGGGCGCAACCGCGGAGGGGCGTGAGGTCGGGTGGCCGGCGGGGACCGCGCCCCTTGGCGCTGGTGTCGACGGCTCGGTTTGTGCACGTCGGGGGAGCGCCCGGTCCGCTTCGGGTTTCTGCAGGATTGTGGGGCGGCGTGGTCCGGGCGGCTCAGGAATGTGTCAGGCCGGAGGGGGCTGGGACAGGCTGGGGGGACCCCGCGCTACGCGAACTCTACTTGCTTTCCTGGCTGAGCAGCAAACTCTCCCTCCCCAAAACTCCCCGGCCTGGGGCGCAGAGCTGCGAAGCCGGCCGCTGCGCTGCTGTCGGGACAGTTCTGGCGAAGTTTAGTTTCCTTAGGTTGTGACTGACTGAGAGGAGGGAGCCTGCAGGGTGGAGGCAGACCCTGTGCCCGAGGGATTTGCAGCTCCTTGGCTCTCATTGCGCTCACACTTCTGTGACCCACGCACTCCCAGCTCATCCCTGAAGGCCGTGGGTCATTTTCGTGTAATTGCATCTTTGAGACGACAAACGCAGTGACTTAATAGGCAGCTGCCTGGAGCCGAGTTTACTTGTCAGAAAATGGAGCAGTTGGGTTTGTTTTCAAGGCCGGACCTAAACAAAATGTAGGACAGTTGTGGGTCAGAGGACACTGCTAGCTAATGAATGAGATTTTAAAACGTGTATCTGTAGCTTTCTACAGGATGGGGGGGGGAATAAAAGGCGCTATAACAGGCGTTAGCCTTTGCCCAGTTTTTGATGGCTGGGTTGTCAGGGACCAGGTAAAAACTTGTTTCATGCTCATCGGCTGCTCGTGGTGGTGCTATGTACAAATTAGTTCTTGTTTTAATATCACGAGAGTGTTTCCCTTGAGTTCATCCACATATTGAATACGTGTATTCATAGAGGGGCCTTGGCTAGTTTTATCATCCGGTTCTAAATTTATTATAATTTTTTCCCGTAACATTGTGTCTTCACTTTAATATTCTAGAGGCTTCGTGGGAGTATGTGTGGGGAGAGGATGGGATGAAAGCTGAAATTGCAAAATAGAAAAGTATTTAAGGTAGTGATTAAAAAAGGACTGATTTTTTTTTTTAGTGTCTTTTACTTTTGCAATTGAGAATGATGACTTTCTTTTATCATTATATAGGTTTGTCTTTGTATTTGTGTTTAGCCCATCAAAATTTTTCATAGTATACTTATTTTTTGAGGGTGATTGTCCAGAAGTATTACTTTTCATGTTATAAATGACACACACAGACTCACATACAATTCGTCAGTTTGAAAGACAGATTATAACACTACTGTATGTGGAGTTAGAGTTGTAAAACTTAAATTAGCTTTTGAGGGGAGCGCTGGTTCTTGGGAGTAAACCGGAGACATGGGCACTGAGTTCTATCTTCACCTCAGTCCCCCAGGCTGGGCCTTGGCTTTGCATCCTCCTCCATCCTCCTAGAGGGCTGGGGTTAGTTAGAGGCCTGTACCACTGTGCCTGGCCTGAGGGATGCCTCCTAAATGTGGGATCTGAATGTGTGAGAATTGGCTACCCTAATGTTTTAGGGTAGATGTTAGAAGTTTATCTTTGGATGAAAGATATGTATTCTTTTTTTTTTTTTTCGTTTTTATCGGTACCAGGGATCGAACTCCCGACTGCCTGCTTGCAAGGCAGGCGCTTATGCCGCTTAATTTTCTATTAAGAAAACCCAACACTGGCTTTTCTTAATAATAAAGAATACATATCTTAGGGGCTGGGGATTTAGCTCAGGGGCATAAGCGCCTGCCTTGCAAGCAGAGAGTCGGGAGTTTGATCTCTGGTACCGATAAAAAGGAAAAAGACAAAAAAAAAAAAAAAAAGAAAGAAAGAAAGAAAGAAAAGCCAGTGTTGTTTGGTCTCCTCTTTAATAAGTTAGCCATTGTGGCTTCTTCCGGTGTTAATCAGATGTGTATTTTTCCTGCTCATCTTCTTGCCCAGCCTGAAAGATACTGGAGAAAATGACTGACATAGGGGATAAAATAGGATGTCTCTCTCTTTCTCCTCCTCCTCTGACCGAGTATATAATTTTAAAATAAACTACCTAATGTTTTGTATAGTGTAGTCAAATTATAATTAATATCACTTGAAATCAAAAAGGACACAACCCTGGTCCAAGCCAGTGCACTGAGAAGTTACTCCTTGTAAACGCTGTCTTATTTTGGAACATATTTTAGGAAAACCTGTGCGGTTCATTTGAGTAACAAGTTGAAAGTATTCTCCTATGGGCCTGTGATTGAACCAGGTATGGCTTGTTTGAATTTATGTCATTTTACAAGGTTGGTCTCGGAGAAAGAAAATACTGTTATCCCAAGATACATGAGTGCCGATGGCCAGGGTGGGGGTGTCATTCTGCACCCCTCACCCCCATCCTTTTCTGAAAACTGTTCTCAATTTGAAAATTAAGATGAGTCAAATAGTTCAGGGACTCCGTTTTTAAAAGATAGTTTTTAATCAGTAAATTAATGCATGACTTTTAATGGCATAAATTCCCTACTTGTAAATATGTCGTGTCAAAACTGTGATCTCTTAACTGCCTTGGGAGAAGGAGTTCCAGTGACCTTGAAGATTTGGAAAAAAATGAAAACATCTTTAAGATCCTTCTCTGATTCAATTTTTCTAATAGCTGCCCTGTTCTACTATCCAGTTTCATTCCCAGTGTGTGACTACAGTATCACTAATAGTTTGGAAAGCAGTAGACCAGTTGTTTAATAGCAGACAGCAACCAGGAACTCGTAAGGCTGGTACAGATTTGAACCACAGTTAACATACTTTCCTGAGTTTGCATAGATAGGGCTGATGTACTTGTTTAAGCTTGTTTGCCTTACTGTGTGCCACCACTGAATCCTTTCTGGTTTTTGTTATATTTTGTTTTCACACTTGAAAGTTGTGAAAAGTTCTTGAAACAGGCTGCCTTAAAGAGAATCCTTTGGCATTACAGAGCATAAATGATTCACTGTCTGACAAAGGTTACAAAATCCTAGAGAACACCTTTACACTTACTTTTCTGTAGATAATTTAATAATATCTATCTCTAAGATACTTTGAGGATGAAATTAAGGAATACTATAAATGGAAAAATGGTAAGTGCAAGCTGATGCTCTATACTGTTTAGCTTCTTTCTTTGCTAATCTCTTTTTCAAAACTAACATTCAGTAATTGCAAGAACTTAATGACTGGTACCCCAGTCACTCCTGAATTTCTAGCATCAGAATTTTTGACTTCAAGCTGAGTTATCCAAAGGCCCTGTCCACCTATCGGCCAGGAAACTTGAGTTCGTACTGTACCTGTGCTTACTGAAGTTTCTGGTTTTCTGTATGGTTTAGTGGCACCCACCTCTGGCTCTATCTTAGACTCAGCTGAACAACTTCTAATAACTTTTCTTACTCACATGTCAACCCAGTCTGATTAAACCTGGATTCTTAAGGATGAGATTCAGGTGTCTATACTATTGGAAGTTCTGTGAGAAACTGCAACAGAGAGACAATATGGGAAAGCACATTCTAGGCCGTGCTAGGTGAGTACTGTATAGACAATTTAGTTTCACAAATGCAGCAACATTTTTATGTTGTCTTGGAGTCCTTATAAATCACAAGAATGTTTTTAAAAGCGTAGGCACAGCTGTGTGTATGTCTATTACAGAACTTCTTACTAAATGAAAATTTAAGTTTCAGATACTTAACTATGGGAAAGTTCCCGTAGCAGTACTATCCAAGTAGTACACCTAGATAGGCATGACTGCTTATCTTTTAATGAATTAAAATTAGGCACAGTTTAAAATTCAGTCTCTCATTTTCACTAGGCACATTTTAATTGCTCTTAGCCATTTGTAGCTACTATATTAAATACTTAGGTGTGGAAAATTTCCTTCTTGCAGAAGGGATTTTTAATTTTGTATACCAGTTTATCATTCACATATATGTGTGTCTGTGTGTGTTTATATATATCTAGTCATTCCATTCACATTTATGAATTAAAATAGGGATGATGTTATTTTTCAAAGTTTTTAAAATGAAAAATACCATATTCTTGTGCTTAATTACCTCTTTCTTTGATCTGTTGTACACAGTTGTAAGATTTTTCTTTTCAGAGTTATTTGAGAAGAAATTTAGTGCCCTTGTTATTTAAGTCACTGTGCTCTAAATCTAAAGGGCTCTGTTGTATACTACAAAAGTTTAAGGTTGGAAATGTAATCTACCAAATACAGAAAACAGAAACAGTTATCATTCCAACTTAAGAATTAGGATTTGATTAGAGATTTTCCTTTTTAAACGGATCATTTTTTCTTTACATATTGAGACACCCTTTGTTATGAAATGACAAGGTCAAAATTTTCAACAGAAACCCAACTTATTTTAACATAAATGTACAAGATACAAGAGAAGTATTTGTTTATATATTTTTCCTGCACAGACAGGCATCCCCTTGGAAAAAAAAATAAGGTCGCTCCCAATTTCAGACAGTTGGAAGCTAATGCTATCACTGCATTTAAATGCTGATTGCTACTTGTTAACTGCTGATGGACGGCTTAGAAGAAACTGTAATGTGTAGTTCATCTCACATGCACCCTCTTATTAGGACACCTAAAAAAGGTGTCCTTTAATTAAAGTCTTATTGGCTTAGTCTGTTTTGCATATAGATGAGAAC